CCGGTCAGACGATCCGAGCAGCTTTTTGTTTCGTTTGGTGGGCGCACCAAGGGGTCGGCCGCCTCGAAACAGACTCTATCCAAATGGATAGTTGATGCAATTGCAGCCGCATACGCATCAAAAGACCTGCCATGCCCTCCGGGCATCAGGGCTCATTCCACTAGAGGCATGGCCTCATCGTGGGCATGGTCCAGCGGAATTTCCATTCATGACATTTGTGTGGCAGCGGGATGGGCTTCCCCCTCCACCTTTGTCAGATTTTACAATCTGGAAGTTCCCGCCTTGCAGGCTAAACTACTAGCAGTCTAGTATGTTTCAGCTCTTCTGGTTGAGCTGCACTATAGGGAGTTATTCACACAGACCGGTTTTCGCTCTGTCCCTCTCTATCATGTGCTTATGTACTACACAATTTCCGGCCCGCTCTGCTGGCCTTTGTCACATGTACATATATTTATTCCCACTCATAGTGGATGCTTAGCATGCACGGCGTTGACCAGGTGTTCCCGTAGCGTAAGCTAGCTAGCTAGCTACGTAATACGAGAGAACCTCTCGTAAGAGAACGAATCGGTTACCTAACGTAACCTCGGTTCTCTCTAGATGAGGGAATGAGTATTGCGTTCCTGGCCGTGCTTGTGCTACTAGCGTTCTCGCTTCATTCTATGAAAACCAGTGTTTACAGCCTAGGACGCCAGTAATATACTCTCTGACCACGCCCGTTTCGTACATGTATGCGCGAGTGTTTTATGGATGTGTACGGGTTTATATATATGTGCGAGTGTTTATAGGTGTATATGCATGGAAGTTTGTATGTATATGCAAGTTATTCACAAGTGTATATGCAGTCATTACTAACATAATATGTATTGGTATGGATTTCATATTAGTGTGCACGTGTATTTCATATATGCATTTTTAACATCCAATAGTATACATGTATATGCGAGTAATTTATAGGTGTATATGCACGTGTGTTATGTATTGATAAGCGAAGTTTGATTTAAATCCTATGTGGCGTCTCATATTAATGTGTGTTGTCCTGGATATATAAACAAAAACAGAGTTTACTTTTTATTATGCATTTAAATCAAACGTACCAACACAATATAACATATATATTAAATATTTAAAACGTTACAAAAATGTATGAATATGCTACATAAAAGGCACATTTTCTTTAAGCTGCCTGGTTCCAACTGCTGGTTCTTGGCTTTGATTGGCAAGCGCTGCATTTTTTGTGGAGGTGACTGGTCCACACCTGCATTGTCCTGTTGAAGGAACAGACATATCATGTCATGCTGACCAGATTTAATGAGTGATTCTTAGAGAATATCTTAATACATGTTCCTTCTACAATTTCAATATGAGGGTTCTATAAACTAAAAAGAATATGATACTAGTCATTAAATTATTAAAGTGTTTACATTATTAAATCTGAAAAAAAAGGAGGGAACTTCCCAATGCTCTCTTCCGGTTCAGCTGGGACCTGGGCTGAAGGCTGCTCTGGTCCAGGTGCGAAGTGCTTATCTGATTCTGGCTTCTCGGTTTAGGATTCAGCTGCACCTTCTTGTCAATTTCCACACATATTTTATTTTGGGGAGGTGGCTGACACACACCTACATTGTCCTGTTGAGAAACAATCATAATGTCGAGTGCTTGTTAGACTAAATCTAAACGCATATCTTTCTATAGTTTTGAAATACCATATAAAAGGATTTGAATAGAGGACCTAGAAAACATAGAAGCATATTTGAAGTCAATGTTTAATTTTTTTTTTAAATACATCTGAAAATAAGTAAAAACAAGAGATGGAAGGGACTTACAGATACTTCTGTGCTCCACTGACACAGCCTCTTACTCTGACTGGACATGGATGGTCCAGGATGGGACTGTGCAAAGGGACTTGGTTTCTGCTGCCACAGATGGCGAGGGATCATGTATTTCCCTTGATTTATGGTTCTGCCGGGCACTGCTGCTCCCTTTGGGGTCCCCTGTAGGAATGGGGACAAGTTCACGGGCACAGGTGCATCTTGTGGAGCCATGGAGGCCATGAGTGCTTCCTGTTGAAACCTGGATGCTCCCTGTGGAGAACAAGGTGGAACAAGTGCACTCTGTGAGGTCTTAGGAGACACAGAAGCTCCCTTTGGGATATTCTCCTGCCTCTGCTGTCCCTGCTGCTCCCTCTTCTTCTGCTGCTTAGGGATCCTGAGGCTTTCTCCCAGTTTTGGGGAATCTGCAGGCACAAGTGATCCCTGTGAGATCCACAAATGCACAAGCGCACCTTTTGGGATCATTGGGTGCATATCTGCTCCCCTCGGAGCCCCAGAGGTCACTGCCGCTGTCTGTGGATTCCTGGCAGGCACTGCTGCTCCCTGTGGAGTCCTGCGATTATCAGACGCTCCCACTCAGGGTCCTGTCAGGTAAAGGTTTATTGGCTTGGGGCTTCTGCTGCAGCAGCTGCTTCCTCAGTAGATCAGAGATCTGATTTCTCTTCTCTGGAACCTTGTCAGGGACAGGTGATCTCTGTGCACCACAGACAGGCTTCTGCTGCAGCATCTCCTGCTTCAGTGGCTCTCAGTAGCTCTCGTCTCAGTGGCTCAGGGACCTCTAGTTTTTTCCTCTTTGAAGTCTTGGCAGGCATGGGTGCTCCCTGAGGAGGAGAAGCTTGAGGCCTCTGCTGCAGCAGCTCCCCTCTCAGAGGCTCAGGGATCTTTATCCTTGGCCTCTTTGATATGTTGTCAGGCAGTGTTCCCTGAAGAGAAGGACTTTGAGGCTTCTGCTGCTGCAGCCGCTCCTGCTTAAGAGGCTGAGAGAAATTTAGCTTTCGCCAATCTTGAGACTTGGGGACAGGTGGTCCCTGTGGAAACCCAATGGGCACCGGTGCTCTCTGTGGGGACTCGGCAGCCACTGGTACTTCCTGTGGCTTTTTCTGCCTCCACTTTCTCTGCTGTTCTGTGGATTTCAGTGTTTTATCTGAGTTCAGGGCCTTCTTAGATGCATCATTGAAGGCCAGGGATGAGGTGAGGTTCAACTTCTTAGAACTGGCATGCACAGGTGATTCCTTTTGGGACCTGGTGTGCACAGATGCTCCCTGTGTCTTGTTCTGCCTCCACTGCTTTGTGGACTTCAAGGATGTCGGGCATGGAGTTTCCTGTGTCTTGTTCTGCCTCCACTGCTTCGTAGACTTCAAGGATGTGGGGCATGGAGTTTCTCCTGCCTCAACTGTTCCCCACCACAGTCCTGAGGTGAGGTCCCCATACTCAGGCTCCTCAGAGATGGGACTTGAAACCTCCATGATTGCCCACCACTCCCCTGCTGCAAGGGCCATGGCAAGCTCACCTGAGAGTTCAGGACATAAGGACTGCTCTGCACTCTCAGGAAAACCGATGGGAAAGGTTGACATACTCATATTGATTTTGGATTTGATAATGATCTAAAGAACTGAACAATACTGCTTTTGTGCAATCTGTAGGCTATCTACCGTATATATATCTGTAAAAAGAAAGACAGAGAAATGGAATAGATGAGTTGAGTAAACACATACGAACTTGGAAGCTGATTGTCTTAGTTATCAAAATACTCAAAAAAAATAATTTTCTACAGTGTATGCCCATGCCATGGCTGTCCATCAGAAGAGGCAAGGGAGTCTCCTTAAAATCTATTCAAAATGAACAATTAAGCTGAAAAAGTTAAGTTATATTTTTTATCAATTTAACTAATGTGGACAACTAAGATGCATATAATGTAAAAATATATATATTTTTCTATCATGCCTGGTAATCAAGGCAAATTTTATTTTCTGCACTAATAGAAGAGGATGACAGCAATAAATGCTCCATTAAACAAACCAATGAGAATAAATATTCAAATGGACATTTGTCTGTCCAAATTTGCCATTAAGCCATAAGGAGGCTAAATGAATATTACCTCCTTTTGCATATAATCAGTTACAGTCAGAGATACAGAAATATAACCATAATGTTAAGGCCAATACGCTTTCATTGTCAGTTCAATGTGTCATCAGATCTGCTATTGGTTGGTCAAAGAATATAACGGATCTCAAAACAAGAGAGATTGAAAGACAGGTTCATATACGAATTTATCATATTAAAGGAATGGTGGAGTTCCTCGCAAAGACAAGATAACGTCTACGGAGCTCTCCATTTATGAATACATTTTTAAAATGGTCGTCTGTATTTGTTGATTTAATGTGTTGTGTTGATTGAGAGAATAATGTGTCATTAAATATCAAGAATATAGGATATCATCTGTGTATGGAAGCATATCAACAAATAGCTAACGTTATATTAAAAACGCCAAATCCAATTTACCTATTAGCCTCCCCAAAAATGCCCACACAAAGTAATCTGAGTAATAGAAATATTAAAATTCAAATCTCCACACCCTGAATAAAAAGCATGTGCGTGTGTGTGTCCTTTGATAAGTTGCATAATTATTATCTCTATCAGTTTTCTTATGTATTTCTGTGTTTTTTCATGTGTTTATGCTTTAAGAGATTATTTTCAGATTTATATTCGATTTATGATTATTTTATTATTATTTTATTATCTATTGTAGCCTACTGGTGTTAGGTCCATACTCGGTGTAGCTGTGTGTATTTACCATCGGCCCGAGTTCGTTTTGTCACAAGCGGTGACAAAAGTTTGTTTTAATATCTAGATGTTTGCGATGATAATTGGATCTGTACAGGGATCCAACACCAAGTCCCAAGGGCGGAAGCCCGGGGCACATGTAGTGCATAATCACCATAGACTCACAGAGAGTGAAGGAAGAGGGGCTAGAAGCGTCATTCCTTATAAAGTAGCATCCATAGGAGCTAATCATATTAATAGTATACCGCGCAGCCAGGGTGAAAAGCTTTCAGCCTAAACTGGGTGGCCGTACATGTTTCAACATTCATGGAGCTGTTGTATCGGTCAGTGAGCGATACACAGGCCAAAACTCAGCATCTGGGCCGGCACAGCGGGGCCCTATAAACGCAGCTGGAACTTCACAAAAACTTCCTCTGAGATTCTGAAGGCAACAATCTGAAAAGCAAGGTGAGTTTTTGGAACAAATATTTACTGAATAACATTTGCTTTGTCTCTAAAATACATAGAGAATCCACAGTGTGCAGCGTTTGAGTGCAGCTATTTAACTTTACCTACTTATTCATTTTTAGGTTCATTTCAGATTCATCATGGCAATGCTGAGAAGTCTTCTGCTTCTTTTTGTTATCTTCTCCATGGGCAATGCACAAGGAAACCAAAACATTAATTTGTAAAAACCCTCGCTAGTTTAAATGCATGTTGGGAATGTACAAGATTCCATTTACTAATATTTGCATGATAAATGAAGGATTTTTTTCATATTTCACATCTTTTTTTTTGCTGCAACTACAAAATCCCCATAACATTTATGTACTGGATCCACACCTGATTTAGGAAAATGCCCACGTGAATGGAAACGTTTTGGACACCGGTGCTACAAGTACTTCTCTCAATCGGTTAAATGGGTCTCAGCAGAGGTAACGTGTATATTCAGTAAAGTTATTTGGACAAGACTTTATATTAGGTGTCTTTAACTGCATCTAAATAGTTTGGTACAATGTATTTATTTTGTGTATGTAAAACACTTTTGCTGCTATTGAGGTGGGATATGGGTAAGGTTAGGGACAGGTTTGATGGTTAGGTTTAAGGGTGGGTTAACACAGGGTCAACAGAGTAATCCTAGATCGAATTACAGCTGTATTAATTGCTTGGTTTTTTTCTGCAAAAGATTAGATTTTGTAATGACAAATCTGTCTCTTCAGAGAAACTGTCAAAGTCTTGGTGCGGATCTCGCATCTGTGCATGATCAACCAGAGAATGATTTCCTGCTGGGACTGATGCCGCCTTCCAAAAGAAAATGGGTTGGTGCTCATGATGGTGAACAAGTAAGTTAAATTGTGTGCCCTAAAGAAACCTATTTGTTTTGCTAAACTGAAATTTCTGCTTTATTCAAAGGCAAAGTTTGTAATGAAGATCTAGTTTGACTTCAAAGCTGAACTTAATTGGCTTAAGTCTGACCACTAGTGCACTTTTTGTATTCATTCTCTTCACTTATTAGGACGGAGAGTGGTTTTGGAGTGATGGATCTGTGTATGACTACGACCACTGGTGCTCTGGAGAACCTAGCAATAGTGTTTCCGAGAACTGTTTGGAGCTCAACTTTACCCGTGAGTGCACTTTTTTTTTCAATTATAATTTGCAATCCTATTTCATATCGTACGGTAACGTTAAATGACTCGTTTGGATTTCACCAAGTGCCTTAAGTTGAACACCACTGACTCTAACCCCACTGTAATGATCAGAGTAACTGATTTCATTATTCCACCCTACAGCCAACCGTTGCTGGAACGACGCTCCCTGTTCAACCTCAATGAAATATATTTGTGTTTTGGACGTGCGAGGTCATCATTAGTCATCATCCACATTTACTTTTTCTGATCTTAACAAAAATTGTTATTCTGAAATCCAATCTCTTCTGAATTGTAATCTCTTCTCAATATTTTCTCTGAAACACTCCTCAAATTAATAAACGCATTGAATCAAAGCATGTGAGTTGTGGCCAATCAAAATGTATATTGCATAGCAAGGTTTGAAGATCTGATTAGTAGAATGGCATTTAATGATATCAGGGAAGGGGTTTAAGCAAGCGGCACACAGTGGCTTCATCGACAAACACTAGAAGATGTTTGTATCCTACAATAGATTGTAAGCAATTTTGGATTTCATCCAGGGCTCTTTGTTTTCTGTCTTATAAAATATGCATGATGATGCTGGAATTCACCATGATCTTTCAAGGTATTCTGGCTCAAGTCCAAAACCCCATGGTAATACCATGTTACTCCTGTATTTGTTGAATGTCACGTATAATGTAAATTGTAGGCCAATGTGAGTCAATTTTTTTTAAGAAATTGTTGGTTGCGATCTAGGGTGCCCCCTACTTTCAGCTTTGAGGTCCCCTGGGGGTCCCTAATGCTAAACGCCCAGTTCCAAACTATAAGGTCGGTCGCATTCAATTATAATAGCTTGCTCAACATAAGGGCTTAGACACACAAAGTTAAAGTAAAAATAAATGATAAAAAGAAACCATATCTGAAAGATTTTACACGTTTCCGCTGCTTTCGTTGTGCGATAAAGCATATAAAATGTCCTCAACATTTTGCAATAAACAAGTAAAGTAATGCAAAGTGCGTAACCTTTCAAATAGAATTAGCCTAAGTGCATCCTTAAATAAATACTATGCTATATATATTAAGAGAGAAAAATGACTGTCTCTGTTTATTTGGAAAACAAAATGGCCAGTGACTCAGTCGTCCAGCTTGTCAGTCACACACACTACTAGTTGTGTTTATGATTTAAATGCACAATTTTCAGATTTTTCCTACAAGTTGCATTTAGTTATGACTGATATAAATGTGATTATGCCGCTGGCTGTCAGCACGTTCCTGCGACCGCTTGGCTTTATGGAAGCACAAGTCCAAAGTTATTTGTTGAACACTGACTGCATCTAAAGTTTCCCTCGTGCATCAAGAACATCTCAAAGTAAACCGACAATATTTTTTAAAAGCTTTAGTTTATTGCAGTGCCATTCATGAACCACAAAATGTCTTATAAAATAAAATAGTAAGCATTTAACAAATAGTTAGCTAAGAAATCCGTTGTGTCATTTCCAAACAACAGGGCCAGAACCTTTCTTGTAAATCTTTATTGTGAGAAAAAAAAAAAATCATACACACTGCTAAGATCAATATATATATTGGTACATATTAATGAGCAGTAGTTCTGCAGAACTGGAATTGTTGATTCTTGAATGACTGTTCCTCAATGCCAGTCTAACTCCTGTTGTCAGTGAAATATTACCTAAATGGCATATTACAAAAAAAAGCAAAAGGACATGTTTTCATCAACAACAACAAAAAAAAAAAAAAAAAAAACTTAAAACTAAAAAACTTTGGTCTAGTTCCCTTCCATGTTCATCTCCACCTCTCCTGGACAAGGTGGTGGGAATCTTTTACTCATTTTAATTTCTGTTGACCCCCATCTTAACTAAAAGCTCTCCTTCATTGAAGAGCACAGAATGAATGTTCTCTAAGAAGGAAACCCAGTGCTCACTTTTCACAGAAGTCATAGAAAAACCTTGTTGAAGGCCTTTTAAAAGATTCATGTCAACTTATAATCACCAGCTCTCTGAACAGTCCAACAAACTTTAAACGCGGAGCAAAAAACAGACTTTTTAAATACAGAGAAACGGATTGTAAAACTAAACAATGCTTTTGTAACACTGATGAAGCAGCATCTTCATCCTACCAAAACGCTGAGAGACGTTCCATTATAAACAGCTTGTTTTGCGAGCGCACTGGCCTCATCCAAACCCACATCTCTCCAACTAAGAGCGACCTATCTTGGGCTCATGGGCCTTTAGTGTTCCCACAGCATCCTTCACAGCATGGTAGATGATGTTCTTCACCTGGGAACAACACAAACAGAACATTAAATCAACATAATGCTTGGCAAGCATAAACGCTGAAAATGAGATTTTGTGCTCCACAGAAGAAAGTCACATCAGGTTCGGAAGGACATATAGAAATACCTGTAGCTTGTCCTCGTGGTTAGTGTGAGTGTTGGAAAGGTGCCGGAACTCTTGCGTCAGTCTAAAACAGTGCTTCACGTGTTCAGGAGAAACAAAGTCCTCTGCGACCTTGATACAGCTGTACAGATTGTGCACCTGGAAAAACCAAGATGAAGAAAATTAAATTAGCATTTGTGTGTCAAGTAGGGGTGCGTCATATGTATCGTCTACGATAATATCGTAATAAAGCAATAAGCCCTCTGTGAAGCAGTGGTTTACAGTGAATTTAGAACAGCTAAGGAGAGTTTTTAGTCGGGCTTCACGATTTGGGGAAAATGTCATATTGCGATTATTGAGGTCAATATTACGATTGCGATATAATAAACAAATGGTTTCATGAGGCAACTTGCTTGGTTCTAAAGCAAAATGCACACACAGATTAGTGATAATTCTGAAATGTGTATTTCTCAACTCAAACTAGCAACAACAACTAAATGATTGATAACACCTATAATGATCAATACGCCATTGATGTCTGGATACAAATTAATTTAATTTTAATTTAAGTGAACTTCAAACAGTCCTCACATAAACCCATAATAAATGTCATATTTACCTGTGCTCTTCCTGTCATATACAGAAATTGAATAAAGTTATCAAACCGTCTGCGCTGCATAAATTATAAATTATATGGACTAAAATCCTATGTAAAGCTACACAAGTTTTTTGGTCAAGAGCAGTGAGTGTTTTTCTCTGTTCCCTTTGTCCTTTGATTAACTTTACTGACAGAAAGCATTATTGGATGCTGGCCCTTTAAGAGTTGCTGATCTCACACGCGCCTTATTCTCTCACAACTCTTTACGACCATCATAAGACTGCTCTTGTGTTATGAAGACACTCGACAAATGATATTTTGGCATAATTGTTATTGTTCGTTCACTTCAAGCGGAAAGAGAACTGTATTCTGGCGCGCGGTCTGTGCATGCGCATGATACTGGCGCGCGCGTCTTTCAGTCAGGACATTCACAGGCAGCGCGCTCTCTTTTAACTCGTCTCGCTAAATGGTTTAAAGCATTCGCATGAATAAGAGCGGGATCATGTAACACTAGCCAAAGGATGACAAAAAATAACAGATGCTGCGTTAACAGCCCTAATTTGTTTATTTCATATAAAATCGCAGTATTTTGCGTCATATAATCGCATAGGTTAGACATCGCGATTACGATTGCGATATGATTAATCGTGCAGCACTAGTTTTTAGGCACGACACGAAGCGGACAGGTGTTGAGTAGCCGTTTTCGGTTATTCCACATACCTGGCTAGGTTTGACAAATGCAACACCGATGCATTGACTCAGTAATACTGTTGTAATGCGGTCACGGGTCTGTGTTTGTAGTTGTTTACAACTGCTTCGAACACGGCTCAACCAATCATAATCAAGGACCAGAACTATCCGATTTAGAATTGTTGTTTTAATCATGTGGAAGCTGACATAATTCATTCACTTTGTGGAAAATAAACAAAAACAGGCCTCGAGTGAAATCGCTTTCACTTTATGAAGTCGCCTAGTAGAATTCAGCTAGAATGACCACACAATTCCATATGTGTTTGTCTTGTATTTCTATATGATATTGTACAGCAATATCACGAGCTGAATGTCAGCATGATTGTAAATGTCTTTTTGCTCTGTTTTGCCAATGAAAATACTTCTAAACCAATCACAACCACCATCTCAGTGCACCATACACAGTGGTGTTTCTTTCCTGACAGCATTTTTGAACGAACCAATGATTCAATGATCCATTCCTATAGACTGTCGCTGCATCTGAAATCAAATACTTCCCTACATTATATAGTATGCAAAAATAATTTTGCCAAAAGAGTAGTTTGTCTGAATGCATAGTATTTGAAAAACAGTAGGCGAAAAGTACCTGGATGACCAACTACTTCCAGTCAGATTCTGAAGTGCGCATTCGATGGACATGGACATTGACAGTGAAGCGACGTAACTGAGGCTGGTAGGTCACGTGACAGTAACAACATGGAAGTAGTATGTTTCTTATTATTCTAATTATGCATAATGCATGAAAATTTGAAAAAATGGTGACAAATAAGCCCTTAATGAAAACGTTTATTTCTGTTACTGCTGTGAACTGACCAATATAAAGAATATGAAAAACTTCAGGAGTCAGTTAAATGAACCAGCACAAAAACACACTCAGCTAATTGTCTAATTATCGCTATCGACAAAATCCCTGAAACTAGCGAAATATAATTTTGTCAATATCCAACACACCCCTAGTTTCAAGTGCATGATTTTGAACTGAACTCTGGTGGACATGATCTCAGTAACTAACCTGATGTGGCGCTCCAGCTGGGATGAACACGGCATCTCCCAAAAACTGCACAATGGACCAGCCCTGGACCCCATACTCCTCGAACAGCCTGCGACGCAGCGTCTGGTCCAGGTACCAGCTCTGGTCATGGATAGGATCGTGGTCTGGTGGGTTCTCTTGTCCTTGTTCTTCTCCAACCTGTAATAAATAGGTGAAATTAACTTCAGTCATTCATACCGTATTAAAAACATAGAAAGTAGAGAACATTGCCCAAATGTGACATTAAAAATGTCCTCAAGGCATTTGGGTTTGGAACTACATGAGGGTCTTCTTTTTTGGGTAAACAATAACATCAAACAAACATCATTCTTTCACCTTTCGCAGGAGCTCGCGGATCTTTTCGGCGTCTTTAGCGGCGTAGATGTGCCAGAGAGCTCCAGGTTTCTCCTTGATCTCGTAGACTCTTTTCTTAGTCATGTCATCCACATCTCCCTCTTCAATGGTCAGCAT